AGAAAGGATCCTGCCGAGAGAGGAAGAGGAGCGTGCAGTGAGAGTGAAGATGCGCTACATGATGAAGAGATGTTTTACACTTCCAGATTTTATTTCCTAGATATTTTGTTTTGATGGAGCCGCAGTTCTCTGGTTAACTCCACGGAGGCGGGTAGTAGCGCTCTAACTCCCACATGCTGCTGTGAAGGCAGACATGAAGCATCGTCTATGAGGCCTTTAAGACGCATCAATCTGCAGTTATCTCAGTTTAATCAGATTTGTTTTCAGAGTTTTTAGGGTTTCTCTTCATCGTCTACTGCTTTTAGTTTTATTGGTGAGGGAAATGTTCATACAGAAATGAGGGAAACTCGTCATAATCCACCCTGAGACTCGTCCACCAGATATGGCTTCTTTACTGTTGATGTTTTTGTGTGATTTTTTCTTGGATTCTGACTGTTTCTGAAGGGAATCAGTGTCTCTGATAAATAAAGAAAAGAAACTGTATTCAAAAACGGCCTCAGAAAACAGATTTATAGTTTCTTTTACTGAAATAAGCAGTTGAATAAGATGACTGTGTCCCTCGCGTCCTCGCTGGCTCAGTATGTGACCCGATCCGTCTGACTGAGACTCACTTTGACATGATCTGGAAGGAGGAACTCTGGTTCATCCAGCCTGATTAATCTGATCTGCTTCGTATCATCCTGAGGAGACAAAGAGCAGAAAGTCTGACAGCAGATTTGATCAGGGCTGTCTGAGGATCTGTACTGCTCTCAAGGAGGGAATCCTCCACAAACATCAAACCGCCTCAGCAGACGGGGGCTCTCTGGTGCACAGATGAGCTTCATTAATCACTCGCTGTTCAGCTTCGCTGCCTGTTTTCACTGCTGATTGCTTGAGATCAAATCGTTTTTGCAGCGTCTGCAGGAGGAGATGAGGCTGCAGTGAGTCCACAGCTGGTCTCTGTTCTCCTGCTGCTGTGGTTCTAAATGTCAGATGCAGAAAATCTTTTATTAAAACCGTATAAATCTTAGTTTCAACCACTCTCACATTTAGATGAACAGAATCATTGAAACCCCAGAAACGTTTTTCGGACGATTTCCTAAAACCATGCAATAGAAAATGCAACTCAAACTGGATCAGTGCACAGTTTTAAAGGTCATAGCTAGAATGTTTTTATCAAAATGATACATTTATTTAAAGGTACCACATCCACATAATATCTAGAGTGGTGCAACATAAAAGTACAGATATTACTGAAAAATAAATTTTGTATACGTATGGTTTTAAATTATTTATATGTCATGATCTGCCCTGATTGCTGACCTTAATTATTGACTTCATTCACCTGCCTAACTCTGCACGGTTCCCAATCAATCAATCAATCAATCAATCAATCAATCAATCAATCAATCAATCAATCAATCAATCAATCAATCAATCAATCAATCAATCAATCTTCATTGTCAACTACAATTTACAACACAATCAAAATTTAAGTACATCAGATCACATACATTAGGGTGGGGGGGCTAAGAGGGGGAACGGATTTACTGAGGCCATGCGAGCCGCAGAACGCTGCTAGTAGCGCATTCTTATGGCTTGCCAGGTTCCCCCCGGTTGCCTGGCTTCCCAGGTCCCAGGCGTATACCGACAGCTACATTGGGGAAGAGAGGGGGGAAAAAAGCATATTTAACAATTTATCCTTGACAGGGTACAGCTTGAGATATCAAAAAAACCTCAGCACAAGAAAAGCACATAAAAACACATTTCAGAGACATTTCAGCAGAGGGTCACATCAGAGGTGGAGTCACATGAAGTAAATCTGACATTTGAGACATTAGTTGTGTGTGTATGATGAATGCTTTCAATACGTCCGTAGACGCCACCCACAGGCAATATCCTTGATGAGATGGAAGTTTATCAACAGTTACTGAGCGCATCCACAGATGTTCACGGGTAGGGGAGGGGGAGAGAAGGTCTTCTGTGCCCTTTCACCGTAACATCGGAGATTACATAAAGGGGGGAGGTCGAATCGAGAATAACACTTCTTGTTTTGAGAGCAGGCTGCACAGGAAATTCCCTCAGCCTTTTCTTGCTGGCTCTTTCGTGGCGAGACTAATATTACAAATTTGTTGGTCTGTTCCACCTTGAAGCGAGCGTTCACAGCCAAGATATTATCCCATCGCACCTTTGAGTTTAACCGCCACAGCTAGTCTGCGCTCAATCGCACCCAGCATGCAGGTCATCTCCCAGTCCTGCTCGTTCACAGCCTGAAATTGGAAGTTAAGTTATCATTTAGGTTACCATTAGTGGACCTGGCTACTGGCCGGCAAACGATACAGAGAGCAGGTGAGTGGGAATGCGCCACTTACTGGGCAGGAGTTAAACTTGTAGTTATGGCTTTCTGTTTCTGTCCAAGAGAGGGCCGAATCCAAACTTCTTTAAAACCGGTTCCATGGATCGGTTCTGATTAGAAGCTGAGAATCTCAAACTGGTCGAAGCTACATATTAAATTTGGGAACAAACGTCTGCCATTCAGCCTATAAGAAACCCCAGGGTGTCCAATCATAGCAAACACATTAATCTCAGTATAATCTCTCCATGGTTTCTTACGAGAACCTGGGCTCGAGTGCCTGAGAGACAGACTTTGCTTTGGTGAGGAACATCCCAGCCCGTAAACATTAGGAGTTCTGGACACTGGTCTGAACCTGAACCATATGGCCAAACCAGACATGTCCATGGTTTTAAAAAGGCACAGGGAAAGGACACCAAAGCCCATTGATCACTGTATTAGCTCTCTCTGTAGAGAACCTGTAAAAGCTCTAAATGAGGTCTGGTTTTTTTCTGTAAACATCTTAAGCTCAGTTCAGAGTCGGTCTGAGGCAGAAAGTTAAAGTAATCATTTGTTTTCATGGGATTTGCCTTTTTCCTTGTTATCTATGGAGTTGTTCAGGAAAAGAGGCTCTAGAATAAAAAAAAAAACAGTCAAGTTTGAAGGATTAATGTGATTAGATAACAGTTTATAATATTTTCATTAAAGCAGCTTTGCTGTTGTTTTAATTAGTTTCATCTGTGAGATGCAGAAGCTTCTGTTTCCTTCTTAGTTTTCCTTCATTAAACAGACAGAAACACTCAACAGGATTACAGCAGAAAATGTTCTGCAGATAAAAAAAAACCTGATTAAACATTAATAACATTTATTCTGCAGGGACTGACCACAGATAAAACATCTAGGAGACGCTGACAGCTGGTCTCAACGCTGTGATATTATTTAATTCTTGATGACTATTGTAAACGTCGCTGTAAATTTTTCCTTATTTCAAACTTTAATGTTCGTCTTTTCTGAAGCTTTTTTTTGGACTTTAGATTATCTGTTTAGGTGCTGAAAATCATCCAGCCAGGGTCGGTGTTGGAGATCTTCTAATATTGTTGTTGGAGCTGAAGGTTGGTGGACCTGACCCGGCTGGGAGAGGCTCCCTCGCTCTGAATTATTAATGCTGGACTGTAGAGAGAAGCTCTTCCTCCCTCCTGGTTACCTCTCCTCTCCAAACACATCTATCTTCCTCTGATCTCTTCCTCTGATCTCTTCCACCGCTCTTTCTCTCCTTCAGAGAACAGAACCATTCCAGAGTTCCGTCTGAAGAAGCAGCGTACAGAGAATATTTCATAAATGAGTTGGTTTGGAATCTGTGGATTCTTTGATTCCCGAGGAAAAACTTTTAGGTGATTTTTGAAAGTCTGAGTGAACTTTTTCTTGTTCATTTCAGTCCTTTTATTGTTTTTTTAGCTGCAGCACTGAGCTGAACTTACTGACCTCCAGGATCTTCTGGAGCAAAATAAAGAATAACTCCCAGAGTTAAATGAGATGTGTGGTTATGCTCCCTGAGTTTCAGGGAGAAAAAAAAAACATTTGTTTGTGTTTTTTTTTGTCTGAAAGTATGAAATTAAGCTGAATGATAATATGGTTATTATTAATTCATGAGTGAAAATATATTATAAACATTCTCTATGAATCCATATTTAGATAATTGGCTGTGACGCATCTTCATCTAAAAGAGATTTTAGTTTTTCTGTTGCTTTCTTTTAACTTTGTTTCTTTTTGGTTGTTTTCCTCCTCCTGGTTCTCCTCACTTTCATCCTGAACCTACTTGACTGCTGCCATTCATTCATCCGCCATCTCTTGATTTTAATCTGCTTTGATACACCTGTGATAAATGTTCAGAAAGGGATTCTTTTGAAAATCAGCAGCACTCACTGCTCCTTTAGGGTCAAGGACTTCAATTTATGAAGATGTGATGTTTCCTATGAAACTGTAACTATTATAACTCTTTTAACAGTAAATAATTATTTAATGTTTCCATCTGAATGATTACATTCTGGGAGTCGACTATTCAACTAGGGGTAGTGGCTGCCTAGTGGTTAGGGCATAGAGATTGGAATCCTGAGGATGTGAGTTCGAAACCACCTCCCACAGACTGCCACTGTGGCTCTCTGAATAAAATACCCTTAAACCCTGATTGTTCCCTGGGTGCCCCATGATGGCAGCCCACTGCTTCCCAAGGGGATGGGTTAAATGCAGAGGTAATTTACTCCATAAATTATTCTTAACTACATATTTGGATGCAGCTCCTGCAGAATGACGACTCCATCCATGGTTCTGTCCTTCATGTTCCTGCTGTGGTCTCATCTGTCCAGAGGACGTTATCCTTGAAGTCTTGTCCTGACCAAAGTCCTGCTGTCATCTTGTTTCCAGAGAGAACAAGCTCCAAACTGGTTCAGGGTTAGGACCTTTGACCTGCTAATCGAGTGTGGTAGAGTCTAAGGTGGAGCTCTTGGGTTTTTGGTTATTTCTTTAAATTTCACGCCCTGATCGTAGGCTGAGACGTCTGAGATGTTTTCCTTTGATTGTACTCTCTTTCAGATGACCTTTAATCGTTTCCTGATTGTTATGCACCAACAGCTGCTTTAATTTGCCAAATGGACAGATATTTTTCATGCTTTTCTCCTCTTCTCTCTTGCAGACATGGCTGAAGAACTACGGCTACCTGCTGCCTCATGACGTCCGGACGTCTGACCTGCGGCAGGAAAAAGCCATGCAGTCTGCCGTGGCCGCCATGCAGCGTTTCTACGGCATCCCAGTCACAGGAATCCTGGATGAGACGACGATAGAGTGAGTTACTGACTAATTTCAATGATAACTTCTTTTTAAATAGCTTAATTTCCTATCCTGTTGTATGTCCAGGTGGATGCGGAGGCCTCGCTGTGGCGTTCCTGATCATCCTCACACCAGCCGCAGGCAGAGAAACAAACGTTACGCCTTGACAGGGCAGAAGTGGAGGGAGAAGAGGATCACCTACAGGTAATTGATCCGGCCTCCCTCTGGCTGGTTTGGCCTAATGTGTCCCATGGTAGCTGGAATGCACCACCCCTCTCTCTGCCTGTATATTTACTGCTGTTTCTCGGGTTGCTGAGCTCTCACTGTTAAACCAATCGGGTCGGTGCTTTAAAAGCCGCTCTAATGCAGATTAGAAAACTCCCAGGAGACCCTGAACATATTCCAGCTCCTTCTGTTTCTTCTGTTCACATTATCCTCCATCCAGAAACTGAACAACCAGCTGAATCTATGCATTAAGATTCTGAATCAGATTATAGAAAACCCATAAACTTGGTGAACACAACCAAGATGTTGTTTCCATCCCGATGCTAATTACTTAGTTTCTTTCATTTATTCATTCATTAAACTTACATATCTTTTTCAATATCAAACTTTCATATCAGAAGGTGAGAATCCTGAAGGTTTTAACAGGTAAACTCGATTCAGGTGGGCTGAACTGTTTCATAATTGGATTTAATTAAAATATTAAATGTTGATATTATCTCATGGAGGTGCTTTAATATCCTCATCACAATGATTAAGTTTGGATTTTTTTTTTAAATATGCTTTGTTTCATCTTACTTTGTTGGGTTTGGCTGCACTTTGTCACCGTTGTTTTCACTGGTGCCTTGGAGCAAAGAGGTCTCGAGTTCAAATCCCAGTGTCTTTGTGCATGGAGTTTTCCTGTGCATTCATGGTTCTCGATGTGTACTCCTAAAAGGACTGAGGGAGGAAGCTGGAGTTCTGTGTTTAAACTCAGAACTTTTAGTTTGTTTTCCCACCAAACCTTTGGAGAATTTTTTTCTGTCCCTGAAGTTCAGTTTCTGAAGCGGATCAGGCCAGGGTGACTCAGTCCAGGACCCTGGCCGATTACAACTTCTGGTGTTGGAACTGTTTTAATCAGACCCTTCATTTGGTTCATTTGTAGTGTTAATGCTTGCTGGGCCAATGTACCATTAGCAGCAAGAAAGGATTTGATGTAAGAGCTGCAAAGTTCAGTAAAAGAGGAAAAAGAAAAGCAAAGTTACCCTCGTTCCAATACAATCCATGCTACCGAATACATTCAATTACAGTCCTTTTTGGTTTTATCTGTGTATTTTATGGTACCCGTGTGGTTTATAGTGCATAATCTACAGAAAACAGAACTAAAATACAGATAAACACAGTGTGATTGTCTACGTGAGGGTGCAGTTTGGTTGAGGACCCAAATTCAGAGATGAGGGAGGCAGAGATGAGATCTTGTAGGTTTAATGAAGTAAATGGCAACAGAAACAAAATACAAGAATAAGACCCCCCAAAAAAGGACACGTCAGGAAACCAAGTAACAACCAGGAACCAGTGCTGAAGAACTGCACAGGGAGAGTATATATGGGAGACAGAACAAAGACTGGGGTAATCAGCTGATATGGAGCAGGTGTGGATGGAAGTGACTAGAAGGGAGCTAGGGGAAAGAAGACAAGCTTAAGGGAGCAACATAGATTAACTAAAGACTGCTTAAATATAACACAAAATAGAAAATAAACCAAAGATCAACAAAACAGAAATACTTAAATAATGAAAACTCAAAACTCAAAGTCCAAAAGGGGAAAACCAAAACAGTGATCAAATTTCTCCGGACTGATATGAGCATCTCGCTGATTTCAGACAAGCAATATAAAGTAAAGAATGTAAAAAGTCATCTTTAATATTTCATACAGTGTAGTTTAACACGCTTTAAGGATTTAATGTTAGGAATATTTTTGATACCCTAATTACATCATTTAATGGCGACCTGCATGTATTTCTGGTTGCACATGTGCAAATGTGATGGTTGTGATCAAGCTTCCGGTTCAGGTAGTGACAACACCACTCAAAAGGATTGTGGGAATCTTTATAGCTCCTCTATGCTAACTGAACCATCAGCATCCTGATTCTTACAATACTTTGAAACTGCTGACGCACTTCTGCTTCAGCCTAAGTGTCCTTAATAAATGGCACTATACGGCTTAACCCAAGAGCATAAACCTGAAGAGGAAATGTCTTGTTGGTCTTTGTGAAGCAGAAAAAACTAGATCTGAAAACTTTAGTAGCATCAAAAATACTTTTTTCTTCTGGCCTTTAATCTATACAACAATGGACCAATACTGCCCCCAAAACAATCAGTTGCCATTGAATAATATTGTTAGGTCTGGTGTAAAAATATGGGTTAATGTAAATCATTGCAACTGCAGTTGGGAATATTCTCACTTTAACTTTTCCCTGGACTGATTCCTGGACCAGAGGAACCAGAGGAACCTTTAATCCTGCACATCTATCTCCTCCCTGTAATCATGTGGGCGGCTCGGTTAGCAGAGAGGAAGCCGGCTGGGGAATAAATCCCAGCTCGGTGGGACCAACTCTGTGCTTTTAGTGCTGTGATGCAGACTGGACCCAAGCTAATAAACATCCTCCATCTTTTTTAAAAGCATATGGAGGCACTGAGCCAAACATGGGTTTTATTAAATGTATAAACATATTGAAAAACCAAGTCTATAAATCAGAAAGGAAAGAATGAGCTCTATGGTAACACAGATGGATTAATCACACATGGTCAGCAAAACTGTTGGCTACACTTCAACTGTGGGAAATAAACACAGGCTTAGATATGTCTGAAAATATAAATACATCCATCCATCATCCATCTATCCATCCATCCATCCATCCATCCATCCATTCATCCATCCATCCATTCATCAATCATCCATCCATCCATCTATCCATCCTTCTATCCATCCATCCATC